TAATGGAACAATGTTACATAAATTGATGTGTGTATATCATTGTTTGGTCACTGCAATAAAACTATGTAACATAAATATAGGTGTATATGTCATTGTTTGGTCACTGTTATAGACCTACGTAGCAGACATATAGGTGTATATATAATTGTTTGGTCACTGTTATAGACTTATGCAGCATATAATATATAGGTGTATATATCATTGTTTGGTCACTGTTATAGACCTATGTAACATAAATATAGGTGTATATATCATTGTTTTGTGACTGTAATGGAACTATGTTACATAAATAGATTTGTGTATATCATTGTTTGGTCACTGCAATAGAAATATGTAACATAAATATAGGTGTGTATATCAATGTAGGGTCACTGTTAAAAACCTATGTCACACAAATATAGGTGTATATATCATTGTTTTGTCACTGTAATAGACCTAAGTAACATAAATATAGGTGTATATATCACTGTTTTGTCACTGTAATAGACCTATGTAACACAAATATAGGTGTATATATCATTGTTTTGTCACTGTAATAGACCTATGTAACATAAATATAGGTGTATATATCATTGTTTGGTCACTGTTATAGACCTATGTCACATAAATATTGGTGTATATATCATTGTTTTATGACTGTAATGGAACAATGTTACATAAATGCATGTGTGTATATCATTGATGGGTCGCTGTATTAAAACTCTATAACATAAATGAATGTCTGTATATGATTGTCGGGTCACTGTAACATAACTATGTAACATAAATATCTGTGTGTATTATTGTTGGGTCACTGTAATAGAACTATGTAGCATACATATCTATGTATATATCATTGTTGGGTCATTGTAATATAACATTGTAATATAAATATATGTGTGTGTATTATTTTTAGATCTCTGTTATAGACCTATGTAGTATAAATATATGGGGGTATATCATTGTTAGGTTACGGTAATATAACTATGTTACATAAATATAGGTGTATATATCATTGTTTTGTCACTGTAATATAACTATGTTTTACATAAATATAGGTGTATATATCATTGTTTTGTGACTGTAATGGAACAATGTTACATAAATTCATGTGTGCATATCATTGTTTGGTCACTGCAATAAAACTATGTAACATAGATATAGGTGTATATATAATTGTTTGGTCACTGTTATAGACTTATGTAACATAAATATAATTGTATATATCATTGTAGGGTCACTGTGGTAGACTTATGTAACATAAATATAGTTATGTATATCAATGTAGGGGCACTGTTATAGACTTATGTAACATAAATATAGTTATGTATATCAATGTAGGGGCACTGTTATAGACTTATGCAGCATATAATATATAGGTGAATATATCATTGTTTGGTATATCATTGTTTGGTCACTGTAATAGACCTATGTAACATAGATATAGATATAATATATAGGTGTATATATCAATGTAGGGTCACTGTTATAGACCTATGTCACACAAATATAGGTGAATATATCATTGTTTTGTCACTGTAATAGACCTATGTAACATAAATATAGGTGTATATATCATTGTTTGGTCACTGTTATAGACTAATATAACATAAATATAGGTGTATATATCAATGTAGGGTCACTGTTATAAACTTATGTAACATAAATATAGGTGTATATATCATTGTTTGGTCACTGTTATAGACCTATGTAACATAAATATAGGTGTATATATCATTGTTTTGTCACTGTTATAGACTAATATAACATAAATATAGGTGTATATAACATTGTTTGGTCACTGTAATGGAACTATGTTACATAAATATAGGTGTATATATCAATGTAGGGTCACTGTTATAGACTTATGTAACATAAATATAGGTGAATATATCATTGTTCGGTCACTGTTATAGACTAATATAACATAAATATAGGTGTATATATCATTATTTGGTCACTGTTATAGACTAATATAAAATAAATATAGGTGTATATATCAATGTACGGTCACTGTTATAGACTTATGTAACATAAATATAGGTGTATATATCAATGTACGGTCACTGTTATAGACTTATGTAACATAAATATAGGTGTATATAACACTGTTATAGACTTATGCAGCATATAATATATAGGTGTATATATCATTGTTTGGTCACTGTTATAGACCTATGTAACATAAGGACGGCCTCCCCTATGTGCAAGATGCATGTGTGTAGTGTATGTGTGCATATTTTGGGAGGCTGCGATATGTTCGTGTATATATCATTGTTTGGTCACTGTAATGGAACTATGTTACATAAATAGATGTGTGTATATCATTGTTTGGTCACTGCAATAGAACTATGTTACATAAATATAGGTATGTATATCAATGTAGGGTCACTGTTATAGACGTATGTAACATAAATATAGGTCTATTTATCATTGTTTGGTCACTGTTGTAGACCTATGTAACATAAATATAGGTGAATATATCATTGTTTGGTCACTGTTATAGACTAATATAACATAAATATAGGTGTATATATCATTGTTTGGTCACTTTTATAGACTAATATAACATATATATAGGTGTATATATCATTGTTTGGTCACTGTTATAGACTAATATAACACAAATATAGGTGTATATAACATTGTTTGGTCACTGTTTGTTTGTTTGATTTTGTTTAGCGTCCTATTATCAGCTAAGGTCATTTAAGGACGGCCTCCCCTATGTGCAAGATGCATGCGTGTAGTGTATGTGTGTAAATTTTGGGAGGCTGCGATAAGTTCGTGTATATAACATTGTAGGGTCACTGTTATAGACATATGTAGCATATATATATTAATGAGTTACTTTTTACATATGGGTCATATATGTACAATATAATTGTTTGGTTACTGTTATAAACTTATGTAGCATACATATATTAATGAGTTACTTTTTACATATGGGTCATATATGTACAATATAATTGTTTGGTTACTGTCATAAACTTATGTAGCATACATATAGGTGTGTATATCATTGTTTGGTGACTGTTGTAGACCTATGTAACATACATTTAGGTGTGTATATCATTTTTTAGTCACTGTTATAGACCTATGTATCATACATATAGGTATATATATCATTGTTTGGTCACTGTTATAGACCTATGTAACATAGATATAGGTATATATATCATTGTTTGGTCACTGTTGTAGACCTATGTAACATAAATATAGGTGTATATATCATTGTCGGGTCATTGTAGTATAACTATGTAACATACATGAATTTGTGTGTGTATTATTGTTTTGTCACTGAAAAAGAAATAAGTAACAAAAATATAGGTGTATATATCATTGTTTTGTGACTGTAATGGAACTATGTTACATAAATAGATGTGTGTATATCATTGTTTGGTCACTGCAATAGAACTATGTAACATAAATATAGGTATGTATATCAATGTAGGGTCACTGTTATAGACTAATATAACATAAATATAGGTGTATATCATTGTTTGGTCACTGTTTGTTTGTTTGTTTGATTTTGTTTAGCGTCCTATTATCAGCTAAGGTCATTTAAGGACGGCCTCCCCTGTGTGCAAGATGCATGCGTGTAGTGTATGTGTGTATATTTTGGTAGGCTGCGATATGTTCGTGTATATAACATTGTAGGGTCACTGTTATAGACCTATGTAGCATATATATATTAATGAGTTACTTTTTACATATGGGTCATATATGTACAATATCATTGTTTGGTTACTGTTATAAACTTATGTAGCATACATATAGGTGTGTATATCATTGTTTGGTGACTGTTATAGACATATGTAGCATACATATATTAATGAGTTACCTTTTACATATGGGTCATATATGTACAATATCATTGTTTGGTTACTGTTATAAACTTATGTAGCATACATATAGGTGTGTATCTCATTGTTTGGTGACTGTAATAGACATATGTAACACACATATAGGTGTGTATATCTTTTTTTGGTCACTGTTATAGACCTATGTACATGTAACATAGATATAGGTGTATATATCATTGTTTGGTTACTGTTATAAACTTATGTAACATAGACATAGGTGTATATATCATTGTTTGGTCACTGTTGTAGACCTATGTCACAAAAATATAGGTTTATATATCATTGTTTGGTTACTGTTATAAACTTATGTAACAAAGACATAGGTGTATATATCATTGTTTGGTCACTGTTGTAGACCTATGTCACAAAAATATAGGTGTATATATCATTGTTTGGTTACTGTTATAAACTTATGTAACATAGATATTTTGAATTTAGATAATTATTCAATTATTATTTAAACATTATTTTATCTCTCAAAATGTTATGTTTTGTTTAGTTAAAGCAGTTATAATTTGATAAGAAATATGTTGAATTCATGCTATTATTCACTTCAAGGTATAAGTACAGAGTTAACACAGAAATGTGCATTTTTTAAATTAACCTATTATGACGTACGTTTGCTTCCAATGTATTATTATGCAATACAAATATGCAAAATTGTCTCATTTTGTAAAGGTATAAAAGTTTATATTGTATTAGATGTGTCTTTGTGTTGGTTGTGTAACGTGGTATGCGCTGTGTACTGGTGCATTTGTGCGTGGCGTTTCTTATTAGCGACATTTCAGAAGCGGCCAAAGCAGTATCAATAAAAACAGAGCAAAGCAGTACAATTTGAGTCACAATTTAATTAATATATGCAACATATATAGCAAACACATCACTGCAGTCAGTTCAAGTTAGTTTCATTATGATAATATCCCCCTGAAACGTACAAAATATATAAAGTTTGTATACAACTACTGAATCAGTACACTTATTATCCCATAAAGCATTAAGTTTTTAATTAGAGAAAGCAAAATAAAGTTAAATACATACACGTGAATGATTTATGATATAACAATAATATGACACCTTATTATTATGCGTGAATTATGACATTTATACATGTGAGTAGGAAGCATTGTGCTTTAGACAGCTGCGTTTATGATTGTACACCTGTGTTGATATCCGGGAATTCGAGATTGGAGGGAGCACCGTCCGGAAATACAAGTCCAGATGGAGGGGCCGGATATAAACTCATATCTAAAGTGGCTTGAACTCGTTCGAAAGGTGCATAATCAGGAGGTGGTTCGGTAGAGGGGTCGACAGTTGGTGTTGTGGTGGTAGTCTCCACGGCTTGCTGTGGCGGTGTGCTGTCATACTCAACAGGCGCCTCAATAACCCCTTCCTTAGGTAGATTCTCCACCCCGGTCGCTGAAATCATTATAAGGCATTACTTCTATTGATTCTGAGTGGATAATAGTTGATTGATAAGAAAAGTTCAATAACAAATTAGCAACAACAGATTAGATTGAATCGCAAAATGGCAATTGGGTAATCGAAAGAGCAGTTAGTGAAAGCTTAGTAAAGAGAGATGAAAGAATGAAATTCCCGACTAAAGTCGCAATATACGTCCTTTTTTGGGATCAAAACCGGACAAATCACTGCCGTTTGAAAGTTATCAGGGATTTACCAGGTTTTACAATATTACAATTTACAATACTTTGTTGTTAATGTATAATCGAGTATTAATTTTCATAGTTTTTCTAACGTATTTTCTAAAAAAACAACACATGCAAGTTGATGAAAACAAGGGGCGAATGTTTTGGTCGCCATAATAATCTCATAGGGAGATATTTTAATCACTCTTTTATTAATATGTTGATATCTCTCTAGTTTTTATGAAGCGTTTGCAATATATAATACAAGAAAGAGTGAATTATATTTAAACGTACTATAATGTTTAATCATGCGAAATATTTCCTCACAAGTACGATGTTTACGAGTCGTGAAGCTGTTTTGTTATAGGGATTTTATGGCAATAATGTCAAAATTAAAATCATTAATAATAGTTGCGTAATAACTTTTTATTTTTGTTTTCTCACCGGAAGAATGTGAACTATAAATTTTCAATATCAAGGTTTGATATTGCAACATACGCATTGACTGACATGTCCAACAGAAATGGCTCTACGAGCTTTGTTTGGTAACCATGTATGGTAGTTTCAGCAGTACAGACGACAGGAACCTAAAACGGTATAGAGCAATACCTATCGTAATATATTGAAAGTTGTTAATGTGAAGATTGAAGTGACTTACGCATTGTACAGTGTTCGCTGGTTGGAATACAGCTCCGAATGCCTTGATCCCAGAACAAGAAATCATAGCAGTTCATTGTTTGTGGACGGAGTTCGGAGCCAGAAGCTGGGACACATTGTATAAACTTGTTACAATACCCAGGATGAGGCAGGTAACAAGGCAGTTCTCCGGCAGAATTTTCACAAGCTGAACACATACCTGTAACAATGATTTGTATAATTATTTCAAAAGTTTATCCCATAACGGCAAAATCTAAACCTAAAGATGACGGCACGGAAACACACATGAGACTTAAAAAACAAAAACGAAACTCAAGACGTCATGAATACTAAATATTGTTTAAAACCTATTAATAATAATATTATGATAGCTCTCTAGAAATTTCTGACCAATTGTGTATATAAATCATTTATTGTCCTTGTGGGAAGGAAAAAATCAAGGGCAATACAAATATTGTTATACTGAAATAAAACTATAATATAACAATGAAGATTATAAGGCACCATTCAAACTGTTTTGGTCTGCTTCTGAGATACATATATATGCACCTCTTACGTACGTTTTAGAAAGGTTCTTAAGAAGGAAATATCACGAGAGATTGTGAGAGAGAAATTATTATTTCTATTCATATTATCAATGGACTCCAATAATAAAAGCCGTTATATAGACGAGGTTTAATGAATATTGTATTTCAGTTTTAATAATACATGGTGAAATTATACCATTGGAACTATACAATAAATCAATGTACCATCGACGGTGCAAGTAGTCAGTGTGTCCTAATGCGCAAATCCCTTAACTAATTCTAACTTAAATAAACGTCAAGGTACTAGTTTATCTAAGTCGATTTATACACACGATGCATTTAAATTAAATCAATCTACTATTGCAGAATGTAATCAAAGTGTCCATTACACTGGAGGATTGGCGGCATGAATGTTTTCTTTGTCTATATTTTTTATCCTGAATCGGCAGGCTTCACAATGGTGTCCCTATAAATTTATGTGGAATGAAACAATACAAAACTGAGCCCATTTCGTTCCTGCTACAATGGCAACATTCATTTTATTTTACATTTCACTCAATGACTTTATACATAACATAAGCAAAGTAATCACATTCATACACAATAGTACAATGCAATTTAAATGTCTACTTTTTAATACAAACTATTTACTCTACACTGTATACTTTGATTTGCCTATGATTTGGTTTTATCTGGCATTTTAAACATGATCAAATTAATACTCTTAACATTTATGATAAGTTTTATCATGCTGTAACATAATTATTTTTAAAAACTGTATCAGATAAGCCCTGTCGACCCCGTCCGGTGGTCCCTATCACATCCCAACATTTAAATATATACTAACCAGCATAACTCATGGGAGAAAATCAGTTTCGATCTCATTTCTTGGAATGTGAAAGATAAAATGTGGTTAATGAGATTTAATTTTGAAAATACAACATGCTATTGTGTATTAAACGCTTTACAATAAGTTTAATCTGAAAATTAAACAAACAAAATAATTCATAAAAGGAGCTTCAGTGATACGTTATTTTTAATTATTTTCCTAGAGATGAAATAAACTGTAATGAAATGTTTTCTATGGAAAAAAGTAATAGAATATCAAAATTATACAATGCCCTTATAAAAGGTATTTAATACGTGTCACTGAAAAGGACAAATTTATTATGGTCCAAACGACAGACTCTTTGAAATAAAACGGGAGCATATCGCGACATGTGTCGTCGAAGATAGGCACTAATAGAAGGCACCGTCGAAGACGTCCTGAGGTCTTTGCATAACTATCACGCTAAATAACAATTCCTGACCTTTTTATCTAAAGACATCGAAAGTAAGAAAAGGAACTGAACGCGATAACATAGCATTTCCATATGGTGTTTCAAAAGCGATTTCCTTTCGATTTTTAACATACCCGATGTATTTTTGCACGCTTCAGTATTAAACAAAAGTTAGTAAAGATCGCGTGCACACAATTCGTTTGCAATGATTGCCTTGACAACTTAGACAAAAGCAATGGCTTGCAGTCGTACAGCGCGCGATGATCTGTGTCGATGAAAGACTTGTTTGACGACGGAGGTTGTTATTAACGCACTCATTAAACTAGGTAATATTTCGCAAACAGTTCTTCATGAACTCTCGAAAAACCAGTTGGAACATCTTGTCGGACTTTTGTTGGATAGCTAACTCATCAATACGAAAACAGAGGAGGTAGAAGCACGACTCATATAGATCCAAAAATACATATCTGATAATATTTACAGTTTTATCAGGATTTTAAGATCCTTCCACGCTATGAAACACATCCTCTGTCGACTTTACATTTTTTCATTTTTATATTATTTGTACCTACCAGATGAAAACATTTCTGTTTCTGGAAAGCGTTTGTAGTTGGGAATAATGTTGGTTGTATCCATTCCAGCATCAGGTGATATGCCATCAGCGTATGTATTTCCAGTGTCTCCAGTCATGGCTGTGTTTGAAGAACCTGACTCAGATGTTCCTACTATTGACCCGCCAGCACTTGCTTGGTATGAGGCATCGACGGTCGGACTAATTGTATCCATTCCAGCATCAGGTGTCTTGCCATCCGCGTATGTATTTCCAGTGTCTCCAGTCATGGCTGTGTTTGAAGAACCTGACTCAGACGTTCCTGCTATTGACCCGCCAACACTTGCTTGGTATAAGGCATCGACGGTCGGACTATCGATAACGAGGCTGCCAGAAGTGAGCTGCAAGTCGGGTGATGGTGGATTAGGTACATTCTGGTCGCCAATATCAACAACAGTTCCAGATGTGTCGATGGGAGACATTCCTACTGGCAATATAGAATCAAGACATACTCATTTCATTGTGTTATTTATAAAAGAAATTTTCAATGTGTTGTTTATAAAAGAAATAAGTACGTTTTAAAACTATTCTACCGTTCATCATTAGGAATAAAATTATTTGCAGTTAATGCTTTAGTCAGTAAATATACAACATATTCGTATTTGTTATGCGTTAGTAACTGTTTCATTTTAACTAAGGGACTAGTGCTAACTTTAAAATTGTTACCTTCGACTATGTTGCCTTTATTGAACTGTGAATCCCCAGCTTCTGTAGGAACAACATCAAAACGGATCATCTTCTCCGCCCCACTATCATTGTTAACAGGTGTCAACGTACCTGTACCTGTTGAGGGTACTGATCCGTCCCCGCCAACCACATTATCTCCAGGGATCACAATGGTTCCTATTGCAGGTGCACTGGGACCCTCACCACTAAAAACTGTATTATCAGTCGTACTCGGACCTGTTCTGATTACTGTAGTAGTAGGATTTATTTGTCTGAAGTGAAGTCCTGTTCCAGGGGTTGTATCTCCATTTGAAGAGGGCAAAAGACCTTTAGGCAATTGTGACTTGTCACCATCCATGGAGGCAAGAACAGCTCCAAGACGTTGTATCTGTTCTGGTGAAAGTTGCATTATCTGGCTAGGGGTAAGTTGATTTTGGAAAGCACGAAGACTTTCTTGGGATGTTTGTGTTGAGGTAAGGCGGTCTCTCATCTGCGAAGTCAAACTAGGAAGCAGTTGTTGCTTTTGGGCTTTTGTTAGAACTTTCCACATTGCAGCAAACTGGTTAGCAGTCATTTCTGTTGCTAAACTCACAAGGCCTTCCTTTGTCATTCCCCGTACAAGTAGAACAAGCTGTAATGGTGATAATTGTCGGGAAAGGAGTTGGAGTTCTTGGAATTTTGTGATACGCCTGACAGCTTGAGGAACGATACCTTGAGAGCCCCGTACACCGAGTGGTCTGATAGGTGTGACAATGGGTGTACCAATGATTCGTCTACCAGTCCCACGGGGTGCGACACCTCTACCTATTCTAGGTGGAACGACTCTAGGGAAAGACAAAGGACGAATAGGCGTTACCTGAGGCAGGCTGCCAGGAGGTGAAGTATTGGCCCTTGCTAGAAAAGGAGTTCTAGGTATGCCAGGACTGACACGAGGAAGTCGTCCTCTTGCACGTAATGCTCTGATTTCTGATGGCAAAAGACCCATACGTTGGAAGGCATTGATCTGCTGTATCGGCACACCTCTTGTTTGCATAAATGCAATCTCAGCCATTGTTAATTTTCTTCTAGCCCGTAAGCCCTCCAGCTCTGCTTCAGATAAACCAGTTGCCTGTATCCTAGCTATCTGTAAAGGACTAACCCCTCGGAGACGAAGAAGTTGTGCCAAAGCCGTAGAGATTTTGCTAGGTGCAGCATTCTGGGGTGTTGTACTACTGTCATCTGTTGTATTGAACACCTGTGTGCAATCCATTTTGAATCCATTAAATCGCCCTTTTCGTATTTCATCTTTGATGACCATAAAAATTGAGTCTAAAAAAATAAAAATAAAAAATTAAAGAAGTGGTATTCTCGGTGACTGAAATTATATAACTTTAATGAGGGCGAATATTTTGTTACAGTCAAAAGTATTGTATTACCAAAGAAACAAAAACAACAATCTGCATAAGTTTTTATGATTTAGAAAAAACTTATTTACCAAAAAGAAGCTGTTTAAAAACTGAGATTATGGTCAAAGACATAGATAGGTGAAAGTGAATAATCCAAACTAACGTGACAACTAAATCGCGGGGTTGATAATTGGCCTATTATTCTATCCATGTCACAAATGAAGTGAAAAAAATACTTTCGGGATTCTCTTACTAGTTAGTCTTAGTAGAGATAGCATCTCGCGATCATGATAAATATCAGGATAAATAGATTAAGTGATCATGGCGACATAATTATCTCATCATAACATTACCAAGAAAAACTTGAAACAGAGACGACGGAGGACACCAGCTGAGTAATATGTATGCCACGATATTGACATGACGGGAGAGGTTTCCATTTGAAATCCTTAAAATTCTGACAACCTATATTTTGTTTGTGGCAGAAAATTTCCTTTACTTCAAAGCAATATAACTACAAAATTTTAAGAAATTCTACTGAGAAATGGTGACACAAACCTATTACCTTAAACATGTCGGTAGTCCTTTTTCAACCTGTCGGTATTTCTATCCAAACATGTGGATATTCCCATTTGAATCTGCCTAAACCTGTAAGAGTATGACTCCTATCTAAACCTGTAAGAGTATGACTACTATTTAAATTTGTCAGTATTTTCATTAAGACCTCTCGGTAATCCTATTTTATCCTGTTGATATTTTTATTTTAACCTTTTGATATTTTTTATTTTTAAACTGTTGATATTACTATTTTAATGTTTTGGTATCACTATATGTTAATCTATAAAAAATCTATTTAAATCTGTTCGTGTTTCCATTCTAGACCTGCTAGTAATCCTATGTAATTCTGATGGTATTCCGAAAAATCTGTCGGTATTTTTTTTAAACCTGTTGGTATTCCACTTTAAATATTTTGAATATTTCAAAACACCTGAAGGAAATGGAAAAAACTCATTGATTCTCTTAACTATCCTCTTATATCTCATATTTTCTTTTTTCCCTCTTAATGCACTTCTACTATTCCCTTCTTTTTCAACTCTTTAAGACAACAATAAGACTTGGCTTTGCTGATTTATGTAAGCTTTGATTTTTGTAATATTGTTCATAAATAATAGGCTTTAACATAACCAGCTCAATGCAAGTTCAAACCTAAATAATCGCAATCCTATATCAGCAGAATCCAAAATAAGCTGAACCCTAAATACATTTCAGCCTAAATAATCTTTATAATAACTAACCTCAATTGATAATTAGCAAATATCACTTCAAACAAAATAAGGCACATCTGATACGAGCATTTAGTTACAATTTAGCACAAAATGCCAATATCTTGACAGAATACACATTACGATCTTTCATATAGTAGCACCATCACACACAAGAACATTTTAATATCTGTATTTTCCATTTACATGTGTTATTGTGTATATCAACAATACATCAGCAGAAATAATAATCATTGGTGATTTAATTAGTACTTGATCGTTGATTTATAATTTAAGTTCAAAACATATCATTTATCTGAAAAGTAAGCATGCACTACATTTTAACGTGACTTAAGGGCAATGTATCTCGTGCAGGGAAGTCAAATAAAATTGACGTCAGCGTCATCACTTTTTTATGTCACACAAACAAATGTGATACTAATAAATATCAACAGGATCGATAATTACAGTGGCTTTAAATCATAGAGCATAACAATTAGTAATTCCGTTGATAATTTCAAAAAAATACTTTTATGTAAACAATCATATTAGCATTATCCAAACAGCTGCCATATACAAGTATGTTTTTGTTTTTGTTTAACGGCCCATCGACAATGCAAGTCATTAAGGGCCAACAATACTGCAAAAACAGCCATTCACGAAAATAAACACATCAATATCGAACAAATTGACTGCACAATATATCATATTTTATTGTAAAGATCAAATGAGTGTAAATAGTCAAATATTAATGGCCCAGAAACTGTGTCGAATAATCTTTTCATAGACGGTACATCATACAATCTGTCACGCATTTTCTTGAAATCAGCGCATTCAATCATAAAGTGTTTGACTGTAAATGGTTGATCGCATGCATTACAATAAGGATAGTCTTCCTTACACAAAATGTAACCATGTGTAATGTAGGTATGGCCTCTGCGCAGTTGCGAGAGGACAATTTTCTCTCTGCGGTCTGCTCTGCTTGTTGCACATGAACCCACATTTGGTTGAATTGCAAATAACTTGTTGTTTAATTCTTCAGACCATTTATTTTGCCAATTCGTTTTACTAAAATTTGTTATAGAAGGTTTAAAATCAGAAAAAGGCAGTTTAGTAACTTTCGGTTGTAGGTTAAGGGCTGCTTTAGCAGCTTTATCTACCTTCTCATTTCCGTTTATTCCGACATGACCTGGTATCCAAATCAAGATCGGGTGGCAAAACAATAAAATTCTGTTAATGCGAAGGGCGATGTTTTGTATGAGAATATTTTTCAAATTCCGATTTTTAATACTAATAGTGACAAAGAGTCATAACAAATTATTGCTTTGTTAATTTTATTATTTTCAATTTCATCCAAAGCTAGACCAACGGACGTCGCTTCAGCTGTAAAAATAAATGCATTATTTGGTAATCGGCAGAAAAAGGTATAGTACGTCGCCAACAACACATGCTGCTGTAACTATTTTATTCGAGTTTAGAACCGTCCGTATATAACAGTTTAAGTAAAGGAAATCCCGAGATGAACTCGGAAAACGCGCTCTTGAACTGAAACGGGAGGGTGCGAGATTTTTCATTATTGTGTTATTCTAAATTTACTTCATGCAGTCGTATTGTCCATGGTGGAATATCTGGTATAGCAATTTCGATTAATGATATGTCTAAATCCGAATTTTCCAGTAGTTTTTGAAGTCTTATTCCAAAAGACGGGATCAATTTTCATTTCGTTTGAAAAGCTTGTATACTTTGGATGAAACACCCACGGGAAAGCTGGGTTTTCTGGAATTGATTTTAACTGGTAAGCAAACTGTAGATATAATTTTGTTTTTCTATCACTGAGTGTAGGCTCATTTGCTTCAACGCAGAGGCTTGCGGCTGGTGATGTGCGAAAAGCACCTCAAACGAGACGAAGCCCCTGATGATAAACTGGATAAAGCATCTGCAGATATGACTTGCCAGCTGACCAATATATAATGGAACCACAGTCAAGCTTTGCTTCTGAGCATTTATCTTTTATATATTTGATATGAGGCAAAAAAGACAAACTTAAACAGGGGTCATTGTGTAATGTTCGGAGTTTGCAGAAGTGCATGATTTAGAGAGTTTTTTTATTTCTCTAAAGCCATTTTCAATTGCCCATGTCTGAAGTTTGTTTAGACACAGCTGCAGTTGCCTCTCTATAGTGTGGATATGTTTTGATCGATAACAAATTAAGAAATCATCGACAAAAAGAGATCCTTCGGTTGACGGCCCTAGACATTTATCTATGCTATTGAAACTTAATCCGAAAGATGTGACAGAAAGAATACTCCCTTGGGGTAAACCAATTTCCTGCTTGGTCATGGCGGAAAAAATGGTACATACACGGACTTTAAAGTGTCTATGCGACAGGAAGTTTGCTACAAAACTGGGAAGATTTCCTCGCATTCCAGCTTGATGGAGATCTTTCATGATACCGTACTGCCATGTGGTATCTTTTTTTTCTAGATAAAAAAGATAGCCAATAAATGCTCCTTTTTTGCAGAACGATCACGGATGTGAGTTTCAAGTCTAACTAGATGATCGGTTGTGCTCCTTTATGTCACAAACCGATTTGTAAAGGGGAGGGAATCTGTTGGATTCCAAGTTACACATAAGTCTTGAGTTGGTCATTCTCTCCAGAGTTTTATATAGACAACTGGTAAGGGAGATAGGACGATATTTTGTAGGATTAGTTGCATCTTTTCCTGGTTTTTAAATCGGAATCACCGTTGACTCTTTCCAGGATTCGGAAATTTGGCCAGTATCGTATATTTGGTTAATTAATTAAACAAACATTGAAGGGAGATATCTGGTAGATGTATCAGGAATCGACAATGTACCTCATCTGGTCCAGTTGCAGTGTCGTGCGACTTTCCGAAAGACTCGTGTAGTTCAGTTATCGAAAAAGGTTGGTTATAATCTTCTGTATTATTGGATTTGAAATTTAGTTTAGTTTTTTTCTTGTTGGTCTTATGTTTTAAAATTTAGTTGAATGATTAATGACCGACTAGTTTCTTGCAAATGTACTTGCAAGTTCATTGACAATTTTCATGTTTAGCCGATTTTATTTTTTTAACTGAAATAAGCAGTGAGGAGGCTACGGTGGTCCTCTTTCCAATAATTGTCCTTATCATGTTCCAATCCTTTTTTTGGAGTTGTTTTGGGAAGAGTTTAGAAACATATTCTCGCCAAGTGTTTCGTTTGCTTTCCTTTATTAAACGGCGAGCTTTTGCCCTTAAGATTTAAAAAAAAATGGTGTAAAAAGTATTATCCAGGTGTGAATCAATGAACGCACTCATATTTATTGAACCTGAAATGACGATCGATCAAAAGGGTGAACTAAATATACTTTCACGTAATAAGGTCAACTGTCTACCAATGAATAGTAATCCTAACACAGATTTTGTTTGACAGATTTGTCATCATCAATGTTTTATCATGAATTCCATTCTACGAATCAGGTATACATTAGATACAAATTAGCATTGACATTGATAGCTCTACAGGATTATAAAACCACGAACAGTAATCAATATATAAACAGCTGAGTAAAGTTAATATCAATGACATGACACCTGTCATATAATCACTGATACGACTTGTCACCTTGTACATTTGATTTATAGTTCGAGTCTATCACTAGTAAATACTTAAATATTTTTATATCAAATGTAAAAAATCCAAAGATTCTGTCTAGTTCCACATTTATTTGTTTCTCTTTTTTTCAATTGATATGTTATTGTTTCCCTTTTCACTTTAAATGAAGTATAACCGTTGTGTTGTCTAAGTATTGTTAATAGACTAATGTTTCCCTACATATGTGTAGTCTAACAGTTGTATTATTTAGGTATTGTTAATGCATTAATGGTTCAATCCCTACATACGTGTTGGCTAACAGTTGTGTTATCTAGGTATTGTTTATACACTTATGTTTCCCTATATAAGTTTGGTCTTACCGTTGTGTTTTCTAGGTATTGTTAATGCACTTATGGTTCAATCCCCACATACGTGTTGGCTAACAGTTGTGTTATCTAGGTATTGTTTATACACTTATGTTTCCCTATATAAGTTTGGTCTTACCGTTGTGTTTTCTAGGTATTGTTAGTGCACTAATGGTTCAAACCCTTACATACGTGTGGGCTAACAGTTGTGTTATCTAGGTATTGTTTATACACTTATGTTTCCCTATATAAGTTTGGTCTTACCGTTGTGTTTTCTAGGTATTGTTAATGCACTAATGGTTCAATCCCCACATACGTGTGGGCTAACAGTTGTGTTATCTAGGTATTGTTCATACACTTATTTTTCCCTATATAAGTTTGGTCTTACCGTTGTGTTATCAAGGTATTATTATTACATTAACGTTTCAATCCCTACATAAGTTTGGTCTTACAATTGTGTTATCTAGTATGGTTAATACATTCATGTGTCACTCCCTATACAAGTTTGCTCCTAAAGTTGTGTTATCTAGTATGGTTAATTCATTCATGTGTCACTCCCTACATAAGTTTGGTCTTACAATTGTGTCATCTAGTATGGTTAATACATTCATGTGTCACTCCCTATACAAGTTTGCTCCTAAAGTTGTGTTATCTAGTATGGTTAATTCATTCATGTGTCACTCCCTACATAAGTTTGGTCTTACAATTGTGTTATCTAGTATGGTTAATACATTCATGTGTCACTCCCTATACAAGTTTGCTCCTAAAGTTGTTTTATCTAGTATGGTTAATACATTCATGTGTCACTCCCTTTACAAATTTGGTCCTAAAGTTGTGTTATCTAGTATGGTAAATACATTCATGTGTCACTCCCTACATAAGTTTGGTCCTACAGTTGTGTTATCTAGGATTTATTAATAAATTAATCTTACAGTTACTGTGTTATCTAGGTATTATTAATACATTAACGTTTTAAATCCTACATAAGTGTGGTCTTACAGTTGTGTTATCTAGGTATGGTTAATACCTTCATGTGTCACTCCCTATATACGTTTGGTCTTATAGTGGAGTTATCTTGGAATTATTAATAAATTAATGTTTCAATCCCTACATAAGTTCGGTGTTACCGTTGTGTTATCTAGGTATTGTTAAAACATTATTGTTTCACTCCTTACATATGTGTAGTCTTACCGTTGTGTTATCTAGGTATTGTTAATATATTAATGGTATCCCTACATAATAATAATTATTATAAATGCTGAACGACCCATCAACACAGGATTCGTCATTAGGTCCAACAAATGGTCGAAAACTTTCAGATAGCCTGAAATGGAAGAGACAGTTATGTTTTCGAAAAGAGATTTAAGACATGTAATGTTATCATAATTTGTTTTCTCGAGTTGACTTAAAGTCGACACAATCTAATAAGAAGTGTTTAACTGTAAATGGTCCCTGCCACGCTATTCATTGAGGCTGGACATCACGTTTTAGTAAATAACAATGTGAAATATATGAATAACCCATCAGGAGACGGGCAAGGACAACCTCGTCTCGGCGACTCTCAGTTTAACTAGGATGCCATTCACCGAATTCAGGTTTAATAGAATGTTACTTGTTATCTACGCATTGATTCCAATTATTTTGCCACTGTGATCTTATGAATGTTGTAATTAGTGATATAAAATCAGTAAAATGAAGTTTGAAATCTTAAGGTGGTAGTAATAGTGATGCTTTCGCGACACGATCTGCCTTTTCATTACCTGGTATTCCCGCATGTCCGGGAACCCAGCGAAAGGTTATTTGACATGTTGAGGTAATATTATGTAATAATGTTAAGATTTTTCGAACGGCGATATTCTTTAAAGATTTGTTGCGAAAGCTTTGTAGAACAGATAGAGAATCAGAATAGATAACATAACTGACGGTGGTACACCATTTGATTTAATGTGCTCATTGCCGAAATAGATAGCATGGGCTTCTGCTGAAAATATTGACGCATCATTGGGCAGTCGGCATCCAACTGTAGCATCTTTCGTTACAATTGCCGTGGCAATTTAATGATCATCTTTCGAACCGTCCGTATAAAACGACTGTAAATCCTTATATCTTAATTGCAGTTTTGAAAAATTCGAACGAAAAATGTAAAATTCGGTGTCAGATTTGGATGTCTCGTGAAGTGAGAGACCAAACGTCGTCGAAACAAGAAGCCACGGAGGTGTGGTCTTACAGTTGTGATATCCAGGTCTTATTAATACATTAATGGTCCAATCCCTACTTAAGTGTGGTCTAACAGTTGTGTTTCAGGTATAAATACATTAAAGTTTCCCTCCACACCCTTTTCCCCCCTCCAAAACTTAGTGTAGTCTTACCGTTGTGATATTTAGATATTGTTTATAATGAATGTTTCCCTCCACACCCAATGTCTGTTATCTCCACGCCTCTGCAGCTATCTAGAAACAGGGGTATTCCTCCACACCGTAAGTGTAGCCTTATCGTTGTGGTGTTAAGTCAGCTATCTGGACATTAGTTATCCTACACGCAATCTAACTGATACGCTACACTTTTTTTTTATCAGATTTACCACCTGGATATTAATGTTTTCTTCGTGATTGATGTGTTGTCTTTCTGTTGTTTTATCTCGCCAACTTTCTAAGCTGTTGATGGTGTCTGTTTTTTGTTTAGTTTTGCTCTATTACCAAATGATTGAAACTGGAACTTTTAAATTTTACGGTTATTGTCAATAGAATTTAAATGAGTTTGATTTTTTTTACATTTTATTATACACAGGATATGAACAGAGATATTTTTTTTATTAATAATAAAACAATAGATTCTTTATTTCATTATTTCTCAACATACTCCCAAGTTCTCCGAACACCATTTCCTACATGATCCAAGGAAGTCATTAACACACCTATGCGACACAACAATGCTATCAGGATACAGTTCACAAAATTATGGAAAAAAACTTGCTTTGACAAAAACGGAAGATTCCTTTCGAGCGATAGTTAGTTATATTTATTTAACTTGAGGTATTTTATTTACAAATTGTTTTAATATACCAGGTTTACTGAGTGGCTTTTACAATGTAAAAAATTAATAATGAGACTTAGATAATAGCAAAACACCATTAGTTGGGAGGTACTTTCTTTCTAAAAAGTTCATATTTCATCTGAAAAACAGGTTTCCATTGGAAATTACTTCGTCTATTTCTAATGACGGAAACAGTTGCAATGAATCATGATGTCACAAAGAAAAAACGACGTCGCAAAGCATTGTACATGCCGTCATAATTCAAAAATGTGACCAATAAATTCAATTCCAGTTTAAAACCATAACTGTTTAGAAACTCATAACATTCTTATGCAATTATTCGTGAGTGAAAACACCTATAGTGGTTGTCAGAGTAAATAGTTTACAGTGTATTCTTCATCTGGAAAGAAAGTACCATTAATTTTTTATATATACTTACAAAATCTTTCAGGAACACATCGGCACACGTCATTGAGATAAACTTTTGGCAACTCTACGGTGTCATTACAAAATCTGAAAGTATACTGTCTACTGTTGCCAATCACTGTGCTCTCCACATAGCTCTTCGGGGAATAGTACGGAATCCTGTTACATTGTAGTGAGGAGTAACACAGAAAAAGATTTAAGAATGTTTCGATCATTTTATATAATGTCTTGATCGAAGTCGAAGAAAACGAAATAGATTAAGCCAACACTCAATAAGATATTATTGTAGACACGAGCCGAAAAACGTCCTCCTGTGATATTTAGCTCTTCTTAACCATCACTTTATCTCAGGCCGAAACTGTGCTTGACATAAGACGGGATGGCTTAATAAATCCCCTGACCAGGCCATGCGAAACTGATATAAGACGTCAGAGCAGAGAGCGTGGAAATGATTGACACTTTTTAACGCCCCATTACCACTGAAACAATCAATATACGCAGGAGACATGGGCTGACGCGAGTTGTATTAACGTTAAACATGCTACCTGTTAAATAACGTTTGTATATCAGTGAACCTGTATTTACATATCATTGTATTTATGCTTGATAAATGCGTAAGTTTTGTAAAATTTGTATGACCTTAATGCATATACCGAAGCTGGAAATTTCCAAAAGGATATTGAGGAATTAAATTCCAACATTGTTGAAATTAAGTGGTGATATCTAATATGTCATCTTAATGTTTAAAAAAGTAGTGTACACTTTAGCTTTATTTCAAATACATCAGAATTAATATTTTGTTAAATCGTTTGAAAGTGCTCTTGGCTGAGGTTACTGTTTTTGACAAACAGTTTTAATGTAAACAGTAGTTAATAAAAAGACGTGGCGTCTTAATGAACCCATCTTATTCACATGAAACATGTAAATACTTTAATGTAAGCCATTACATTTTATTTGATGAAACGGGCTGCATCATCTTTTTTAAAAGATTAAATACGAACTAAAGAAGTATTTATTTTAGCGTATTATGACAAACATTGTAAAATAACATATTTTTACATATAAGTAGGAAACTTCAAAAGGAACGAGCCATACTGTTTTCCCTATCGACGTAAACACATCACGTCATTTTATTCATATTACTTGTAACGTTTCCATGGGTGTTATTACAAATATAGGTTACAATCACTAGGTTGCTGTCGTGGGTGTTATAACAATTATAGGTTACAATCACTAGGTTGCTGGCTTGGATGTTATTACAAGTATAGGTTACAATCACTGGGTTGCTGTCTTGGATGTTATTACAATTATAGGTTACCATCACTAGGTTGCTGTCGATGCACAATTAAACCAGATTTTGGTTTTTGATAGTAGTATTATGATTCTTTGCATTAGTGCTCATAATTTTAATTTTATTAAAAGTGTATTCTATGATTTATTTGACTAAATAAGACCCAAACAGAGTCTGTTGAATTCAAGGTCGTTGATTCGATTCTGACAGTTTGCAAAATGGGGCTGTACCACTAATCCTGCAACGACTTGAGTATAATATAATATGGGCTGTTTATTACAGTCTTGTGCCGAAGTAAATAAATAAACAATCTTTTAAAACATTTATATAGCGCCCTTTATAATTTGTAAAATTACGCCAAGGCGTTTTACAACACATGAATAACTCTTACAGTGACAGTTATAAATTTAGCAGATAAAAGGCATACCAATCAGCATTATGCATTAAATAACAAGACATTTATCTCAATATGCATATAGATAAATATATAAACTACATGTTATGACTTGTTTGGCACTTTATATAAGCTATTGGTAAAGCGGATTCTTAACAAGCTGAAAACATCTACAAACAATATCCAGCATTTACGCACACACAGCACAAACAGTGAAGGTAGGCCTCATGTATGGGGTGCAAATAAATATGTACTTCACTTCCTGTGTTTTTGAATGAGGCAGAATTGAAGGACGGCTTGGCAAAAAATGTTTTGAAGAATATACTTGTCAATGTGTCCTTAATATACATGAAAACAACACAGTCAGTGTTTCTGAGTAACCGCTCGATTGTAGACGTGACCGTTTGTTAGGGAAACAATGTAACTGCATTTCAAAATAATGATGTTCTGCTAGTGTACAAATGTATCAACGGATTAAGACATGGGCACAATAACAAATGTTGTTTTGATAAGGGTCATGTTTGGTAAAAGGTGTCAATGCAAGCTTATAAAATGTAGAAAAATTTAGAGAGATGCAGGTCGATGACGAGTATGTGTGAAATCCAAACGGTAAATATGAACGTTTCTTGTGTGGTATGAGCATGGACGTTTTGGTTATGCTCATAAGAATGTCACTAATCCGGTTTTTCATTTTGAGGACGTGCCTTTACTTGAATATGACCTATGGAGGTTGTCAACGATGGGAAAGAAGATGCTAGAGCTTCCGGAACACCTGGTCTTATTGTTCTTGTTCTATTTCAAGGATCTCAGTATGGATTTTTCTTTTGTTCACATGATAGAATCAGAGTTAATTATGATATTGTTTACACTTTAGTATTATATTTTTTTGGAAAGGAAAAAATATGAAAAAAAATAAAAAATCAAGCTTGTAACTCATAGTGGACACTTTATGCAAATTGGGGGAAATTGAACGGACCACTGACGTCTTTAACGTTTAAAATACAAATAAGGAGGTTATAACTGTATCTTACAATTTGTTATGCTTCACGTATGGTAGTTGTTTTTGTTATTGCGTGAGATTTCCTGATGAAGATTGAGGAGATTGATATTATTACATGTTATATAGATTTAGTGTTTCTAAGTTAAATACGCAATGATTCAGATGTGTTTCTTTGGACCATGTCCATGACGTATTCTGCAACTGTTGAGGACTTATCAACTTGATGTGACCACACACAAACAGCATGCATGCGTATTTCCGTCTCGTGTTCACGTGTCAGAGAAGGGAAACGTGATTTGTGCATCCTTTAAAATACATACACCAATCCGTGCACGGAACACATGAACGTATTAAGGCATTACGTGTTTTTTTTTTAGATACGCTAGAAACAAAATTCCTGGAATGTGTCCATTAGCACACATTATCCATCTCCATTGAATGTAAATAATCGTTCATGATCACCGATCACTTCCCTCTACTTGATTTACCTTATCGAAATGTACTTGGTGACCTACATATCTATGTTTTATTATATACCTGTTTAACTTTAATCTCCTGATTTCTCAGTCCATATTATGCTGCACCTTGTACCACAAACGTGTTTGAATGTTGTATGACTAAGCTCAACTAGATAGCCATATTGGTTGAGAAAGTAATATGATAAGATAAAAATATAAAATTCATATCAATAAGCCTGATTAAAGACAGATATCGACTTTGAATACAAGTCTTAGATTCGTTGCAGACAGATATGTCTCGAAACTAAGTCAGTGCTGAAAATAGGCCGGCGTTGATAATTTAACAGTCTTTACATATTTGTAAGGATTGTTACCTGCACAAAAAAAAATATGTAACACAAAAAACAATGTTCAACCCGTTTATATATATATAGTTATGATTTCATATCATTTTCATATAAAAATCTTCATATGAAGACGTTTTCTGTAATTGATTGTATAAGGAAATCGTACAAATCTCTTAAATAAAGAAGGACGATATATATCGTTTATTGTTAGCTAGATAAGGAAACTATTACATACAGATTAACTTTACCGAGATCGCCGTCAATTACGTTTTGTATGTCTGAGTGCTAAATGGGTGTTTACTAGATGTTCAGGCGACTGGAATATTTCCGTGATACATGTGTTTACGGTCTATTTTAGGGTTACCTCCTGTTGTTTTTAACCAACTCAGTCGTCGTCATTACAGTTGTATTTTGATTTAGTATTCGCTTAAATTGTAATATATATAAGGTAACTTAGTATTTTCACATTTATCTAGATATGTTTATTTAGTTTTATTTTGGAGATTCTATTTTGTACTAATCTGTACTTGTTACAAACAAACAACAGGAACAGACTGTGTTTGATCACACCCTGTCCTACGTCACACGGAACTATGATAAACCCCAAGGCAATCACGATAATCAATGAAGATTGGATGTCACGTACTCAGAATCAATTTTAAAGAAAGGTTAAGTATGAAATTGTATTTTATGTTTCACTCTACACTATCTCTGCAGTGGTCATTGGGGTATCGCTTCATAAATATAACATAAATCAAGTTGTCATTTCATGGGAACTCATAAATGATTTTTATAACAAACATAATTTTTATTATAAAATAAATAGAAAAAATAGAAAAGCGGTATCATATTTTGTAACTTTTGTAACCAGGAATGCGAGGGTGGTGATTTATATAATAAAAAATGTAGATACATATTCATTATTACTAATGATAACCGTAGTGGACCTCCTTGCATAACTCCAGGTTAAGTAACAAAATGACAGATAAATGTAACAGGCGAACGTTATTTTGAAAATGAATTGTGAAAGTGTACAGTGTATATAATTATTGCTATTTTGATACTAAATATGTCATATTGGTATACATAAAGTAAGCGTAGTGATACTTTTGATTACGTAAACATGCAAAATGTTCACAAAAATCAAAATATAACCAGCATTGTCAACCTGCCTACATGTATGTGTAGCTTCTTTAAACAAATTCCATATATATCTTCTGTCTACAGAGCTATTTTTATGTAATACAAGAAGAAGTTGTTTGTTTGACACATTTGACCCCTTAAACCTCTGTGACTTTGAAAGAAGGTCAATGCTTTTTTCGGTCTCAAACTTGTTAGGCTCCACCCCAAGAAGCTTCCAGCCAAACATTAATGATTCTATACCTTTAGTTCTTCAGAAGAAGCCATTTGAAGCGTTTGACACATTTGACCCCTGTGACATTGAAAGTATGTTGAGGTAATTTTCATTCTCAAACTTTGTCGGGCTCTTTTCCAGGAAGCCACCAGCCAAATATGAAGGTTCTATACCTTTAAGTTCTTCAGAAGAAGTTCGTTTTAAGCGTTTGACATATTTGACAACTGTGACCTTGAAAGTAGGTCAAGGTCATTTTCATTCTCAAATTTTGTCAGACTCTATAACAGGGAGCCACCAGCCAAATATGAACACTCTTTACCTTTCAGTTCTTCAGAAGTCGTTTTAAGTGTTTGACACATTTGACACATGTGACCTTGAAAGTAGGTCAAGGTCATTTTCATTCTCGAACTTTGTCAGGCTCTATCACAGGGAGCCACCAGCCAAATATGAACACTCTTTACCTCTCAGTTCTTCAGAAGTCGTTTTAAGTGTTTGACACATGTGACCTTGAAAGTAGGTCAAGGTCATTT